AACCTATTATAATCTCACCCCCTTCCTGCCAGTCATCCTTCACCTGCAGTATCTTATATCTAGACAAACTACTGATCTGGAATCCCAACAGGACCGAACTTCATCGACTATACCGATTATTTAAAAGTCTAGTAGTTAATAAAGTACTTATATAGGTTGTAGGTTATACATGTATTTAACATGGAAGCAAATATGGATCCTATCGCAATCCTCGGCATTTAAAAAGGCAGTAGCACGGTGTCCTGCTGCACAGTTCCACTTATGTCGTAAGTAGTCGCAGTAAAATCTTGTATAAGATCAGTTTAGTTTGATTCGGACAAGAAGGATTTCTGACCTAGAAGTCTTGGTAGTTCTGGAGAAGTCTTCTGTCAGATTGGATCATAATATCTATTTTTTACAACATGACAAATGTAGAAGAAACAAGCTTTGTTCTATAAACACATTTTTCACTCATAACCAAAAAAATTGAGGGAACAAAACTAGTTAACTATTTAGTAACTATCGACTTTAGGACCGGGTAAGAAGGCTTCTTCTTTGGAAAGTTCTCCACTTTTAATCTGTCTAAGTCTCTCCGTCCTCATTTCGTAAACCCTCATGTTCTGTTTCTGGTGGGAGAAGCATTCTTCCAGATCTGCTAAGATATCTGCACATTTTTCAAAGGCCCTCCTCTCACCGTAAGCTTCTTGACAGTTGACGAACTTCATCTCGAAATCTCCACAAGGGCCCTCCTGATGGGTCAACAAATGGCCGGTCAAATCCGTCAACGGGGTCTTAATAAAAGGGAAAATCGTCATTTTTGTCAGCGATTTATTACACTTCCTTCGGGTCGAAGATACTCCTCACAGAGATCGTAGGAAACCTTTTCAGGACCAGACGACTTAGGACTAGTCTTCTGACAGATTGCTATCTCTTAAGTCTTGTGTAAAGATTCTATTCTGTCTGCTGTCTAGGAATAATCTGTGTAGGTATTCAGTATTTGACTTAAACAGGAATGGTTTCTCTTTTCTTTTGACGTATAGAGGAGGGAAAAACTCGGAAGAATTGTTTTTCAACGTGAACGTACACTTCCTTCAATGTGTTTTCCTCCAATTTGTGCCCCAGTCTTCGATGGCTCAAGGGTTCTTCCAGGTAGTTTTAATTCGAGTTAGAGAACAAAATTGCGGTATCAATTGGTGATAATGGTATTAGGTTATAAGGTATGTCAGCAGTATCAATTATATAAAGGATGCGACCAGGAGTGCTCCCTTGTGTGACGCCAATTTGTTTCTGTCTGACTCCGATAACTCGCTCCCGCACTCTGAAGCAGCGATCCGTTAGATAGGATTTCAAGATACGGTCATAAGGAGTGGGTAGGAAGCGTTTAAGTTTATAATGCATGCCCGGGTGTCAAGCCTTATCAAAACCCTGCGATACATCTAGGAATGCACCCAAGCAATATACTTTATCCCCTAGAGCGAGGAGATAGTATCAAGAACTCTGAAAAATTGAACAAATCAAAAGTAAAATTTCCCGTCTGTTAACTCATCTCGAAACAAAATATAATTTATAACTTCACTGGATTTAAACTTCGTGAAAAACGACACGTTAGCTAGGCAGGTGAACTTCTTCTCTGTCCATAAGGATTAATACGCTTCTATCTTGTCCGCGATCAGAACCGTGAGCATTTCATGGTATAACACACAAATACTCGCCACTTTCTCAACTTCATTGTTAAATAATATTGTTACTGTATGACATATGTTTAAACGATTTGAAGATGGATATTATTTGAATCGAATAATAAATACATCGTTATGAACGACTTAAGAGAGAACGAAATAGTCAATTACATGGAATAATATCCAGACTAGACCAAATAAACCCGTTCGTTAAGGAAAATCGGCGCTTCAGGGATTAAAAAAGGAATAGTGTTCTCCCTTGACAATACCAAGCCTCATATTTCGTCAGTGATGTGGTGAAGATTGTTGCTCTTGTGTTGGGGCGTGTTACCTCACCATATTTGGCAGACGTAGCGCCTTCGGAGCACCATCTGTTTCGGTCAATGCAAAATTAGTTGGTCAATCGAATTTCTGGGGCGACCTAAGAGGTACTTCTTACCGAAGAAGCCAAAAATATCGGATGGGCATTATTCAAATGCCTCTTGACATATATAGGTTAATTATGGACCAGTCTGAACAATCGTTTTTACAACATCCCGACTTTATTGAGGCTAATACACTATGTACTTATTGTTGTGTTGACAGTAAAGTAAAAACATTTGATAGTTTGTCGCTCAACTTCAAAGTAAGTTGGTTTCGGTTTTGCATGCGAGTAATGATGATTTCAGTTTGAAAACAAAATTCCTTGGCAGAAATGGATTTTTAATGTTCGTATTGTTTTACGTTCCACAGTGTTGTTTTATTTTAGTTAGATGTCTGGCGGAGAAAAGAAAATCTGAGCGTTTCCAGGCATAAATATTTCTTTATTTTGTACTGTACTTTGTACATTTCGGGCTCTTGACCCATCATCAGCCCATCAACTAAGTAGCTACTCATTATCATCTAATGAGTATTTATTGTTGGTCAAATTACTTTTTTTGATATATATATTTCTCAAGTCTTTATCTCCTCATTATTTTTTATTTAATAAACAGGATTTTTAACGATTTTGGCTAATATATATATATATATATATATATATATATATATATATATATATATATATATATATATTATAATACTCTCAAAGACAAAAACAAAACCAGATACTTGTATTTATTTATTTACCATAATAACTTTACAGAGAGTTACTAGCCCAGATCCTTTAGATTAAAAATAACGAAAATCAGTTCAATTCAGCCTTTCCAAAGAGAACTTGTCGAAGGAATTAATTGGTTTTTCAACTTTTTCTTGTTTTCTTTTTTTGAAATAATAAATAGTAGTAAAAAATTAATTAACAATTATCTTCAAAGCATTCACGATGGTTAATAACGGAAAGGGCCACCGGAAATCTCGATAGAAGAGAAGGTAATGCGCGGTGTACGACTAGAGAAGATCGTTTTATTGCTCTTAACGCACCTCGAAACCATCATTTAACACCCGTTACGTCCTTGATAGGTAGTCAACTCCAAATGTCCGTAATGTAAGGCGGAGCTCTAAAAGAGTCATTAGAAAGCGTCATCAGAAGAATAGCCTGGTCACTAGACTTCCTCCCATGCTCTCTACTCCTTGAGAGGAGTAGAAAGGCGACTATTCGCAAATCAGCATCTGGCTTGGACAATAGGGGGCTCTTCATTAAATGAGTGTTTAGTTAGTGTGTGGTGAAGACATGAAGAACGCTTAGTTTCATGTGCCATGCGTGAATCGCAGGCTTTTCAAAGACGCTCAGTTACGGTATAAGGTGGACTGTCCATATCCGTACGGAGCTGACACCGTACAGAATCTTTTACTGCACTAAGGTGCATTGTTCTTTTGGAAGCTGTGGGGTCCCATTGGCTCCATTTATTTAGGTCAACTTTGAGTTAATGTGTGATAATCACCCATTTCTTGGAGGATGGTGGGATTACCAGAATGAATTGGCCAGCACGTTTTCCTTACATGAATCTCATAGAACAACTTAGGACGTGTTAAAGGGAGTGGTTCGCATCGATCGACGCCTCCAACAAACGAAGAACAGCTTCAAACACTCTTTTTGAAGAATGGTATTGTTTCACAAGACATCCCGATTGCTTATTTTACTCGATGCCTAATAGACTTAAGGCCTCCCAGGGGGGAAAGATGATAATACGCGTTATTAAGAGCAAAAATAGGTTCTTAGTAAAATTTTAATTTATCATTAAATGATTTTCCGGTGTTTTAGTGAATTTTCTTCAACTTACTTTTACTTTCCAGACGACATACACTTACCCCAGAGTACTCGATATTCCTCGGGGCGGGGTTATAAGCAACCCCTTTCTGTCAAGCTAATAAATTACTTTTACTCTCCAGACGTCCTGGTTCCTCTTGATGTAAGCTACTACGGCCCATTTTAATTCCTTTAATTTTGTCAACAATATCCACTCCTTCAACTACTTCGTCAAAGACACAGTAACCCCAGCCATTTTCCTGTTTTGAATGGAAATTTAGAAAATCGTTGTCGACTACATTAACTCATCCCAGAGTACTCGATATTCCTAGAGGCGGGGTTATAAGCAACCCCTTCCTTTCACGCTAAAAAATTACTTTTACTCTCCAGACGTCACACACTCACCGCAGACTACGCCATATTCCTCGGGACAGGGTTAAATCATCCCTTCCTTTCATGCTAATAAATTACATTCATAAACTAACATAAAGTCATACAAACACACATAAAAAAACTATATACATTTAAAAATCCCTACAGCCCTGAGGTACCCGAACCGCGATCTGTGTCCGCTGCTTCGCCCCAAGACTACGTACAGGTCCGATGACATGCCAAAATAATGTCTATATATATCAAGCCTTCTACAATTGAAAAGGTGCCCTACGTTCTTCTATGACCTATTCGTAGTCTTGTCAGTATGGCTTTTTATTTTTTCGAACGGTTCTCCGTGGACCAGGGACCGACTTCTTTCTTAACCTGCCACAGTTTAGCGTTTTTCTACGAGCCCAGCGGTTTTCCCATTTTCTTTTTACAAAATTTGAAATTAATAGTTGTCCGCTGGGCGTATAGGTTGGTAACTTCCATAATTAAATCATTTTTATTAAAACTCGTCAATTTCTGATACCGTTTAATTGGGTTTTCAATAAAATAAATATATAATACAGCGGTAAAAATACATGTATATACATAGTTTTTGTCTTTGGGTGTATATCAATTGAATCATGAAGCTGAGCGCTCTCTCTTGTGGTACCTGAAAACCAGTACTCCTTATGAAGGCACCACAGAGGGGCGCCACGAGCTCTCTACAGCTTAAGAATTACCAAACACCAGAATAGAAAATAAAAAATGGAAACAACTACATAAAATACTACATAAATAACACCTAAAAGCGTACTTACTATTTGTACGAGGTCATCCGGGGCCGGAGCCCCACACCTCCTGGACCTAGAAACAACAATTTATATTAATAATTTATTAATAAATAATTAAATTAAAATCGTGATCAATAAAAAGTTCGGAAATATTGAAAGATTATTGATATTTTTTTATGTATTTACAGATAAATTTATGCGAAAAATATGCGTTGTCATATAGAGAAAATATACTGTCAATGTGCTTATCTACTTGTGAGGGGGCCAATCTGGCTTCCCTTGCCCGGTATATACGACTCCATCATGTAAGTAATCATTATAAACATCGCATTTCCGAGTATATTTGTACATTTCCAAAGTCAAATGTAAACTAACTGTCTATCTGTCTGTAAACTTTGCAAACCAAATGTAGCCCTTTCCACGACAAATGTAACTCAACTTGGCATGGAAAAGGTTGTATCGCGCCTTGGAAAGGGCTACATTTTGAAGTCTCGATCAGTGGAGGTGTGAGGCACAATCGTAAACTTTTTAGAAAAAAATAAATAAAAGGTTATAAAAATTATATATAAAAAATTGAATTAATATGCGTGGGGTATAAAACTGATGCCAAAAAAATGCTATATTTGATTTGTAAGGGTTACACATGACCTGGGAAAGGCTGTTTTGAACTCTTGATGGTTATTTCAATCAGACGGTTTTCATTATTTTTTCTCTTTATGGCTTTTCTCCTCTATCTGATCAATGTTTATCTATGGCATTCCCAAGCCTTTTTGGACCTTTCCTAAGTCATGTGTAACTTTTTACAAATCAATTGTAGCCTTTTCCAAGTCCGCAAGCAACCCTTTCCAAGACAAATGTAGTCGAGTTACATTTGACTTGGAAAGGTTGAGTTGTAAAAAGTTATCCTTAACTTGGGAAAGGTTCCAATGTACTTGGAAATGCTATAGATACAAAATAGCGTCTGATTACCATCAAGACAGCCATCTCGATAACCATATATTTCATTTAAATTCGTAAAACTTTTATATTTAAGATTTAATTAAGTTTAGAATAATTATTTGCACGTTAAACAGGAATTCGTTAGAAAGGGGTCGGAGACCTTGGTTGTTTTTTAATTTACCTTCCATAATAGAATTTGAATATTCATTGAGTCCTTTACGTTGAAGGACGTTATCATCGTGTTTAATTAAAAAAATAAATAAGAACTGAACACGTTTTGTTTTATGCTTGCTACGAGTTTGAAACCAATAAGGGAACGACCAGGTTGATAGGTCACGGATTTGGACCAAATTTTCTGGTGTTACTACACTCCAAAATATCTTTTTTCGCAAAAAAATATTTTTTTTTATTTCACCAATCTACTTGCTCAAATCAACTATGTGAATATAGCGTTTTACAGCATTTTGTATGTAGATTACAACAAAAATATAGTAAAAGCCATCAAAATTTATCAATAACCAAAAAAATTTTAAAAACCAAAATTTTTCATGTAAATTAGGTTATATTTTTTCGTGAAATTAATGTGAAATTTCATTTTAGCACCTCTAGAGGTCCCTAAATATAAATTATTGTTTGAATTCAAATTTATCAATTTTTTGACCCCTAAAGTCGACCAGGTTGGTGGTTCACGGATTTGGGCCAAACTTTTTTTGATGATACTACACTCCATAATATCTGGTTTCGCAAAAAATATTTTTTTTTATTTCACCAATCTACTTGCTCAAATCAACTATGTGAATATAGCGTTTTACAGCATTTTGTATGTAGATTCCAACAAAAATATAGTAAAAGCCATCAAAATTTATCAATAACCAAAACATTTTTAAAAACCAAAATTTTTCATGTAAATTAGGTTATATTTTTTCGTGAAATTAATGTGAAATTTCATTTTAGCACCTCTAGAGGCCCCTAAATATAAATTATTGTTTGAATTCAAGTTTATCAATTTTTTGACCCCTAAAGTCGACCAGGTTGGTGGTTCACGGATTTGGACCAAACTTTTTTTGGTGATACTACACTCCATAATATCTGGTTTCGCAAAAAAAATTTGAAAGTTGATATTTTCCAGTTTTTAATACTTTTATTTCGCCAATCTATCTGTTCAAATCAACTATATGAATACATCGTTTTACAGCATTTTGTTTGTAGATTACAATAAAAATATAGTAAATGCTATCAACATTTATCAATAACCAAAAATTTTTAAAAACCAAATATTTTTCAAGTAAACTAGATTATAATTTTTTTCGTGAAATGAAATTTCTTTTTAGCATCTTTAGAGGCCCTAAATATAAATTTTTGTTTGAATTCAAGTTTATCAATTTTTTGCCCGCTAAAATCTTTCCTATTTTTAAGTATTCGTTATCGGCGTATCTGATTGAACCGGATATAATTCAAAAACTGCTAAAACGATTTTTCGTTCGGACTATTTGAAAGAAGAGGAATCTTTTTAACCACGTATGTGCCATAAAAATGTACGAACTATAACTAAATACACAAAATAGCAAAATTATTTGTCAGAAATTACATCTCTTTTTTTAAATTAGAAATAACAGACCGATTTTAATGTTTGGTACAGTTATATATGCACTGGACAATTTCATTAAAACGACTTATCAACCATGAAAATCCACTAACTTTTGAGAAAAATGTTAGAGCTTGCACTAGGAATGTTTGTCCGTTAGAAAATCATCGAAATCATCAGTCAAAAAATTAATTAGACAGATTTTCGCAAAAGTCGGTATATAACGCTAGAATTACGACAATGAGGTCAAATCCAAGTTTTGACCATTTTCTGACCTACTTTGCTTACATAACGTTTGTCAAAATATGCACACAAAAAAGCAGAATTTTGTTGATTTATCTTTTTAAATCATATACACTACAATAGGTTAGGAGGCACACGGTTTCGCTATTGCGAAATTTCATAAACTCATTAGCTTAAATGTCCAGGATTGCTGAAGAGGACAATTAGACCATCTTGAAACCGATAAAATCCAATATTAAGCACGCAATTTCCGGGCTTGCACTTTTGTAACGGGCTTAAAATTCAGTTCCGAGTCGGGAAATGGGTACTTTCTCGGCTAGGCACGATTCGCAATTTTCAGCGACGGAAAGGTTGGATGAGCAAAATTGGGCACGGATATAATTGCTGTTCGATACTGACCCAAGAGATGGTTTTTAACACCTACCAATCCAATCAAGATTCATTTCCAGAACGTGAAACTATGACCGAAAGTTATATGGGCTATGTACATTCTTTTCATACCCTGCATAAATACACAAGTGGAAATCCCAAAAAAAAATTCAAAGTTGGTGGATGTAATGAGTGTAGATACTCAGATAAAAAGCAGTAAGTAATTTAAATAACTAGAGATAGCAAATAATGACAGAAATGAAATTAATGAAAATTAAAAAAATTTCAAGAGAGAGAGAGAGAGAGAGGGGGGGGGTTGTGGGGAGGGAGAGTGAGTGTGCGAGAGAGAGGAGGGGTGAGATTTGGAGGGGGAGAGAGTGAGAGCGAGAAAGGGGTTGTGGGGAGGGAGAGGGGGAGAGAGAGTGAATGAGAGAGAGAGAGAGAGAGAGCGAAGGTGGTGACAAAGGGGGAGGGGTGAGAGAGGGGAGGGGGGAGAGAGGGAGAGAAGAGAGAGGGGGTGGTGAGAGGGGCGGGAGCGAGGGGGAGGGAGTGAGAGAGAGAGCAAATAATGACAGAAATGAAATTAATCAAACAATATTTTTCAACCAAATTAACCAATTTTAACCAAATCAACCATTTTTTAAATCAAATTAACCCTTTTCCAACCAAATTAACCATTTTTCAACCGAATTAACCATTTTACAGCCGAATTAAACTCTTTTCAACCAAATTATACCTTTATCAACCAAATCAACCATTTTTTAAATCAAATTAACCCATTTCCAACGAAATTAACCATTTTTCAACCGAATTAACCATTTTACAGCCAAATTAAACTCTTTTCAACCAAATTACACCTTTATCAACCAAATTAACCATTTTTTCAACCAAATTAACACTTTTTAAATCAAATTAACACTTTTCAATCAAATTAAACCATTTTTAACCGCTTTTAAACAATCATGAAATGAGGGTTGGGTGTTTAAAACATATATATACCAACTAACTGGGAAAGTGTTACACAATTTCAACAAAGGGAGAGAACTAGATTGGTTTGAGAAATTGGACATAAAAAAAAATACAAAATTGTACATGGAGATAAATGCATAAATAATATACAATAATAGATTTTAATATACCTCCTCCTATTTTAAACGTCACCTAAATAATATTTGACAAACAAAATAAGCACTAATTTAAAATTATTTTCTTATATTATTTATTAAGATAATGTTTAGTTGTTATTCACGTTTTTCGCGTGTTTTGTTTCGTGTGTTCGTTTCAAAACTGAACGGCAATAAAAACGAGATTCTCATTTGGATTGGCTGTTGTCCTTACAATTAATGTCAAGAGACGTGCTAGTAAATAACTCCTTCAACCTGATGATGAGCATTTAATGTTTTAAATCAGTATCGCAGAAAACGACAAACTGTGAATAAAAACTACCTTTTAAAGTGATTAAACAACATACACATCCCACTATCATTTCTAATAACGATAAAAGGTGTGAGCAACAATAGTTACAGTCTTACGTAAAAATTAAAATTTATTACTTTCAATAGTGTTACTCTTTTGTTTACCCTCTTTCGCCCATTTCTAAATACCACTGCATGCAAACCCATTACATGTCACGTTAAAAGGCTGAACAGTATTCTAAATATCAGAATATATAAGATAGATTTCCAATGTGAACATTTTTCTTATAGTTACATAAAACATAAAAGATTTCATAAATTTTGTAGGCTGTGACTTTATGTAAAAAGGAGAGTTCGCGTGAATTTTCGGTAGTCAGTGTCTCTTTCGCGACAGTTCCTTGACGGAACATTTTTTTATACATATTATTCCTGAACGGCTATCCGTGACGTAATATTTTCAATATTATGTAAATGTACCGATGGATAAAAGCAGTGTGGTCCTCATCCGACAGGATCACTTGT